TAAACACCACGCAGACTTTAAACTTACTGAAATTTATTGTTTGTAAATAAACACATTTTAAAATAAAACCCATTACCACAGATCTGCAACTCATAAAAAAGGTTTGATTTATAAACAGTTTATCAGCTCTACAAATAACTTCATATTGTCAAATTAACTGTTGATTCATTAGAAATCATGCAGAAATATTAATATTCTCCTAACATTAACCGTTAAAATAACCTAAAAACAATTAAATTTAATTTCTTTCTGAGCTGGCTGTAGCAGCTGCTGCTGCATCTCAATCATGATTAAAAGTAGATAAAACACATTTTAACTATTTATGTTTGTTTACATTGATATTCAAGTTTTCTAAGTACTTATTTTGTTTTTGTCTGAAAATCTCTTTATAAAAAAACGTATCAGGATCCAGAATATAAACTGAATCAAATATAAATAAAAAAATAAACAGTATTATTTATTATTTAGAGGTGAACAGGAGGGAACCTGACTGTTTCACACATTTGCTTTTTTGTTAGAATTAAAAATAATAATTAATTTGACTAAAATAAAAAACAGAAATCAGTTTTTTTCACGTTATGAACTCTAGCCAGAAATATTATAGTCACCCATCAAAATAAATTATTTTGTCAGTTGAAATTGTTGAAGTTTCCTGAGTTGGTTGATTTTAAGATTTTGCTAATTATGTATAGGACTCATAAAAACACATTACCTTTGAACATCCAATCAAATTTCATTAAGAGGGAAAGTATTTATAATCTTAAAGGATCTGAAATGTTTGTAAAACCTAAAATTTGAACTAACTTGAAAGAGAGATGTACCTCAGTTCAACGAATTAAGTTACACAACAACTTGGCTAACGATTATAAAAAAAATACTGGTTCGATTAATTTATTACGTTATCTAATAAGTCTATTAAGTTAGATTGGTAAAATTTGATTTGTTGAATAAATATGAAAATACATAATAGGCATTTATACTAGCTGCTGGTTGAGTAATTGTAATCTTTTTTATTACTATTAGATATTTTTTTAATTTTTTTGTTTTGCTGACCACTAGGGTGTAAAATTATTTATGTAAATGTATGTATGTGTGTCTGCTCCCTTTCATTTAATGATTTTGTGTTGTGTTGAAAATTGTTTTGTTTTTTTGATTAAATGTTCTGTTTTTTAATTAAATTAAATAAAACAAATATGTAAATACCCAAGTGATGAATAAAGATAAATTAAAATCTGTGTTTGTGGACAGAAGCGGACTCGTGGACCGGTCCAACTAGAACCGTAATAAAGTAAAATTACAGTAAAGATTAGAAAAGGTGCAGATTTAAGGAATGACTAAAACATGAATTAAAAAATATTAATTTTAATATTAAGTTTGAGTTCAGATCCAGACCGTGGTCCAACAGAACCATCTGACTGCTCCTCCTCAGGTACTGAGCCCCTCTCATCCCATAATCCTGCTTCCAGCAGACGACAGGATTTCCCAGGGACCCAGCGCCGGCCCGTTGTGTAACCCGTCCCATCATCAGGAGGAGAACGAGGCCAATCGGAGGCAGCGGCCCGTTCGGGATGGGTCAGCTGGGAGCTGTTATGTCACACCCGGAGCAGGAGATTAGAGGGACGAGCGAGCGGAACCGACGGCCTGGGTCAGCGGAGAGCTCGGGTTCGAACAAACACACGGCCCGTTCGGGTCACCGAGCTTCCAGCAGCAGAACCTTTGATGTGCTGCAAGAAGTTTCTGCTCCAGAAAGCAAAGAGAGACGAGTCAGGTCTTCTGGGGACACTTGTCCTGCAGAGACGCCACCACAGAAGAAGAACCGAGCCCAAACAGGAAGTGCTGCCGTTTGGTTTTATTTAAAGACGCTTCGACCAATCAGCTGCTGATCAGAACCGCCCTGAGGTCCAACTGGACCGAACGTTTCACCGGTTTATGAACAGCTTTATGATATATAATAAATACATATTTAATTATGTTTTACTGTAATAAAGTCAGAAGAACGAGTCAGAAATATGAAGATTTGGTTCTACAGACTGGTTTTACTGCCGGGACCCATTTCAGGATTAATTCTGTTTTTTTTTTTGTGTCGATTTAAAATTATTTATCAAACAGTAATGAGCTGAAACGTAAAACACATCTTTACTTTTTCAAACAACAAACAAGAAATGTGATTTTTTTTTACTTCATCAGTTGGTTTTCTTTGCTGTTTTCCTGAAAATGTTGAAGGTTATTATTGTTTGTATTTATTAAGTAAAAAAATGGTCCGATATTAGATACTGTCTTCTTTCTGCTGCCTTTCGTTTTATTTGTAATTTGTATGTTTTATTGTTTGAAGAATTTGTTTTGCTTTTAAATAAATTAATGAATAAAAAATGTTAATCAAATTATCAATTCAAACAAATTTAAACAGATATTTAAAAAAGGAGAAATATGAATTAGATAAATGTGATGTTTTCCCAAAATATAAAATAAAAATTAAAAATTGGAACCGATGTGGGCGAAGAAATCTAATCTGTAAACTTCTCAATTTTTTAAAACTTTTAAAGGATCAACTGAAAACTAAAAAAAAGGGCTGAAGACAAATTAAATCAGATTACAGTTCATCCATGTTACTAAAATAAATCATCACCAGTGGTTTCTATGATTTAATCTGAACTGAGACAAAGTTTATTAGTCTTATAATAATCCAGATCAAAACATTTATTCTGATTTTTCTATTTTAAAGAAAAATCTCAAATCAGACGAACTGAGAAGGAAAAAACTTAAAGTTTGATTTGATCCAGATGACCAGAATTATCCTGTTAAAATCTAAAATATTCAGATCAGTTTGTTTGTCTGCAGGTGTTTGGATCAGCTCCACCTGATCCGACACAAACCAGGAGAACACAGCTGATCTACCAGTCAGTAAAAAGTGACAGAACCAGAACCTAACTGTTCTCCAGGTGAGAACTCACCAGCAGGTGTGAGTTGTTGCTCCAGCTCCACTCATCCGCCCTGACATCTAACCAGAACCAGACTGTTTGCCCTGGGGCTCAGTTTGTACCCTGCCTGGTTCCAGGACCGGCTCTCCGCCCTCTCTGACCCCCCAGGGCACCCGGCACGCCTCCAAACCAACAATGGACGCATTTCTGTTCCCTTCAACTCATCTGGAGGAGGCTGTGTTTGTGTCAGAGGCTCTTATATAACTTAGGTTCATCAGAGCTCTGCTCCATGAAGCAAACGTTCAACCAGAGTCAAAAACATGAGACGGCGTGTCGCCTCCTCCAAAAACTGCAGTTTAAGGTTTTTACTTTAATCTAAACACACATCATTTTTATTTTTCTTTTGAGAAAAGTAACATGAAAACACTAAAAGTGATCCATGATTAGTTGTAAAATTGGACTTTAGCGCGACAAGCTAACAAGCTAAACTGAGGTCCTCCATCCATATTTTCAGTTGCAGCTGAGTCATTT